CGCTCTTCCCAAAGTGTTCAGGCCTCCAATATGAACGAATCAATTTTTCTCTCATTTGGAACACCTTCTCTAATCGCTAAAATTGCTCAGTGTGAAGCCAAAGAGGTTTTGTGAAAAGTAAGGGGCTCCCGCATGGCTCTCATTCGGTGTCTTTCTTCACAAACGCATTTACAAAGACCACCATCTTGAACATGAGCTGCCAAAAGCTAAACACCAAGCCCCATTTTGGCACCTACCTAAAATCCTCACATGAGCAGACGGGTTTACAGAAGATGCTGAGGATTCCCAGTGTGCAGGGACTTCCCTGGGAACTGGGAGCCTTCAGGAGCACTTGAGATCTGGACATGTGCTTGTTCCCAGCAGGCAGAGTCAGACACTGTCAACCACTGAGAACCTCTGTCCAGCTGTGAACCCTGTGCTATCTCTTGGGATGCTGACTTGGTGTCTCCATCGGGTGTTTTTGCTGTCTGGGCTATTATTTATGGTTATTAGTTGTGGTACAACCACCAGCCATTTGTACTCTTTGTTCTACATCTGTAGAGCACCAAGCTGGTCCCTGTAGTAAGCTACGAGGATGGAGTAAACCTCCACCAGACCTGGGAGATGTTGCTGGCAAGATGTCTATTTTATGAGGGGTTTGACAACATCTACAGGGACAAGATTATTTTGAGGGATTGAGAGGGAAGAAGAGATGATGCTGATGCTTTTTTTTTTACTCAAAATGAGAAGAAACCCTTCGAAGCTGAGAGAAACTGGAGTCAGCTCATTCTCATCCTTAAGTTTCCTTTCTAGGTACAGATTGTTTGATTAAGTTTCAAGGATATTATCCTGGTGGGGGGCTCATTCAGACCAGCTGGAATGCAGCCCAACTGATTTAAAAAGGAACATGAACCACTAGCCTCCGGATCAGACACAGATTTCTCAGTTCCTTTCCCAAATTATGCTTCACTGCTTCTACTGTAATGCAGAAAATAATCCAAATGGAAAAATGTAATTTTTAGATATATTTTTTTTACATTATATTATCTATAGTGTCCCCCAAAAATGAGCTCAAGCCTTGGTAAAACTCTCCTTTTTCTCTCACTCTCAAAAATCATTGTTTCAGTGAAAGCTTTGAAAACTATGAGAGAAAATGACAAGAAACCTGTGATCTCTTGTGTACTCTGGCTAAAGCCAGACAACCTGACCTTTCTAATGAACTGACATACCTGGAATATTACAATCACCTGTGTTATAGTGTCTATTCATATAAAAAGCACACAGTTAATTCCTCACTAAAACTTGCCATAAATGAATCAATTTTATTTAGTTCTCTCTGCATCTCATTTCACTGTAGATATGTCCACCCTGTGGGTGTTGGGGAAAGACTTAAATAAACTCAATTGTATTCCAGAGGCAGAGGAAGCCACTAACACTTATTAATTTGTGCAAAAAGCAGCCCACCTTGTGGCTGGATCCTTAGCTCTCTAATTAATCCCTACCCTTTATCCTGCCTCTTAGAAAACAGGTGGATGTGAGGACATGTCAGCGTCCAGCTGAAAAGGCAGAAGCTCCTGCTCTGGTTCATGTGAAGCCACGGAAAGACTAATAATAGGAGAGAGTTTTAGAAAGTGTCCTTACCTTCCTTCAGTGCAGCTCTCAATTGCTCTCCTGCAGATAAAGGTAACTCAGACACGTGTTGGGTATGATGAAACCAGGGGACAAGTGCATCTGAGCATTGTCAGTGCCTATGGAGGAGAAATGGAAACACAAGAGACCATAGTGAAGGGACAGGAGAAGGAAGGCTTGAGATGACTCACCTAGAGCAAACAAGAAACACCCAAGAACAATATGAATAGTGACCTGGCAGCTGGCGGTGTGTCCAGGACATGCAGAATTGAAGTCCTTAATGCTCCAGGGGCA